TTTCTATATGTATGTATGTATGTATTTGAATAAACAGCATTGAATTTAAATTGAGCTCAGTGTTTTTTAAGCGAATATGGCACTATGCCTAACTATATACCAAACAAAACAATATCATTTCTTCCAACATATTCCGATTTTTTAGTTTTTTAACTTTATGAATATTTAACTATGTGTTGACATAAAGAGCTTTATTCCAATTCATGAAAAAGTTTGGTTCTTCAACAGTTTTAGTTATACACAGTAACAACGCTGGAAGCTTCTACAGTTCATCACATCTTCATTGTTTCACTGATTCACTCCTGCAGCTGATTTCATGTGTTCATGTGATTTTTGTCCATCTTTGGTCTCTGCAGAGTCGCGGATGCGGGCGTCCATCGCGGTGTCCTCGTTCGATCACTCCACGCCATTTAAGAGACCGCACTCCACCATCTCCAACAGCAGCTCGTCCTCGTCCAGCAGCCAGTCCTCGTCCTCTCTGAACCTGCACCTCCATCCGTCTCATCCGTCTCTGAGCCACTGGCCCTACGACTGCATCGAGGAGGACGAGCTCGAGCACGACTCCACTGTCCAGTCCTCCACGAGTGAGTCATGTCACACTGAAGACTGGAGGAATGATGCTGAAAGATCACAGAAATCAATTACATGTTAACACGCATTCACGTAGAAAACAGCTATTTTACATTCAAATAATATTTCACAATTTCTACTGTATTTTTAATCAAATAAATGCAGCCTTTGTGAGCAGAAAAGAGTTCTTTCTAAAAACAAATCTTGTTTTTTCACAAATCGTGAAAATGTCATTTATTCCTGTGTAATTCATTTTTTTATGTTTTCATTTGGTTGGGGAGCAAAGAACACATATGTTGTGCATAAACATCAAATTATCCCTTCAAATAAAATATAGTATCAAAATGTTGATAAATACTATTTGAATATATTGGCGTTATTTAATTAGTGTAAAATCTACAATTACCTAACTGGTCATAAATGTACAAATTGGACTTAAAATGTAATAAATACGTAGAATTTAGAATATATATATATAATTTTGGGGAGATTTTTTTTTTTTTCCAATGATAAGATTTTTGGCATTATTTTTTATGTCAATTTAAGTACATTTTCCTCCTAAAGGTACGGAAACTTTACAATGTAATGTAAAAACATGATGATAATAATAAGGACCATTATTAAAGGAAAATTGATGATTTTAGCAAATGGCTGCAATATAACAAAGAGTGAAAAATGTAAGGGGGTCTGAATACTTTCCGTACCCACTGTATATATACTTGTTTGGAAAGTTTCACTGCGACAACTTCTGTGGTTCTTCATAATTAGTTAGTCGAGTTCATCTACGGTCTAAATTCATCAAGATCTATCAGCATGTGTCATCTGATAATAGAGTCTGTGGTGGGCAGAAGGTGTACATGAACAGCAGCTGTTAAGACAGGAAGTGAGAAACAGGAAATGGGCCCCTCTCACTCTGCTGGTGTTTGTTTTGTTGACTGGAGCCCAATGGAAACTCACAGCAGAGGTGCTGAAGGTGTGTGGTTTCACTGGGCAGCTTAAAGACACACCGACGAAGACATAGATAGTCTGTATGACACTAATACTAGATCCAATCCTTCAGTTATTATAACACAAGATTCTGTCCAGTTCCTCTTCCTGTTCCGGACTGAAAAACTACAATATTTCTGATCATTCTATTATTAACTCTACTTGAAATCATGCTTGCTGTGATTATACTCACCGTAGCTGCATTTATCTGATCAAAAATACAGTAAAGGCGGTTATATTGTGAAATATTAATTAAAAATAGCAGTTTTCTATTTTAATGTTTTAAGTGTCACATGATCCTCAGAAATCATTCTAATATGTTGATTTGCTGCTCGAGAAACATTTCTGATTATTATCAATGTTGGAAAGAGTTGTGCTGACAAATATCTTATTTAATATCATTTTATATTTATATTAATATTAATTTATTTTATGAATTACTGTCACTGTTGATCAATTTAATTGCTGAACAAAAGTTTTAATATTTTTTAAATGAATTAATTAATTAACAAATAATATAAATTACTGTAAATAAATAAATGACTGTCACTTTTAATCAGTTTAATGCCTCCTTGCTGAATAAAAGTATAATTTTTTAAATAAGCAATTAAGAAATAATATAAATTACTGTAAATAAACAAATTGAGAAACATTTCTGATTATTATCAATGTTGGAAAGAGTTGTGCTGACGAATATCTTATTTAATATCATTTTATATTTATATTAATATTAATTTATTTTATGAATTACTGTCACTGTTGATCAATTTAATTGCTGAACAAAAGTTGTAATATTTTTTTAATTAATTAATTAATTAACAAATAATATAAATTACTGTAAATAAATAAATGACTGTCACTTTTAATCAGTTTAATGTGTCCTTGCTGAATAAAAGTATAATTTTTTAAATAAGCAATTAAGAAATAATATAAATTACTGTAAATAAATAAATGACTGTCACTTTTAATCAGTTTAATGTGTCCTTGCTGAATAAAAGTATTCATATTTTTAATAAACAAATTTATTAATTAATAAAGTTAATTACTATAAATAAAAAAATGCTGTCACTTTTGATCAATTTAAAGTGTTCTTATTGTATAAAAGTAGTATTTTTTTAAATAAATAAATTAAGAAAGTAAATTACTGTAAATAAACTAATTGCTGTCACTTTTGATCAATTTAATGCATCCTTGCTGAATAAAAGTATTACTATTTTTAATTAATTAATTAAGTTAATTACTGTAAATAAAAAAATGCTCTCACTTTTAATAAATTGAATGTGTCCTCATTGGATAAAAGTATAATTTTTTTAAATAAATTAATTAAGTAATTAATTAATCAAGTTAATTACTGTAAATAAAAAAACATGCTGCCACTTTTGATCAATTTAATGCGTCCTTATTGCATAAAAGTATTCATTTAAAAAAAATTATTAAGTAAATTACTGTAAATAAATAAATTACTGTCACTTTCGATCAATTTAATGCATCCTTACGGAATAAAATCATCATTGTTTTTTATAAATAAACAAATAATATCTGTATATATGTATATATATATATATATATTTGCATGATAGGACTAGATGTGTCCTTGCTGAATAAAAGTATTCATATTTTTAATAAACAAATTTATTAATTAATAAAGTTAATTACTATAAATAAAAAAATGCTGTCACTTTTGATCAATTTAATGCATCCTTGCTGAATAAAAGTATTACTATTTTTAATTAATTAATTAAGTTAATTACTGTAAATAAAAAAATGCTCCCACTTTTAATAAATTGAATGTGTCCTCATTGGATAAAAGTATAATTTTTTAAAATAAATTAATTTAATAAAATTAATTACTGTAAATAAACAAATTGCTGTCACTTTTGATCATTTTAATGAATGCATTCTTACTGAATAAATATTTTTAATTAAGTAATTAATTAATCAAGTTAATTACTGTAAATAAAAAAACATGCTGCCACTTTTGATCAATTTAATGCGTCCTTATTGCATAAAAGTATTCATTTAAAAAAAACGATTAAGTACATTACTGTAAATAAATAAATTACTGTCACTTTCGATCAATTTAATGCATCCTTACAGAATAAAATCATCATTGTTTTTTATAAATAAACAAATAATATCTGTATATATGTATATATATATATATATATTTGCATGATAGGACTAGGTGTTATGATGTAATTCTGCATTGCTGAGTAAGGAAGTGTTGTGCGTCTGCAGTGAGTGACGGCGCTGACAGCTCGTCTCAGTGCACCTCCAGTGACGGCGTGAGCGTCCAGCATCATCCTGCGTTAGTGATGGAGAGCTACACCAGCGACAGAGGCTCGTATCGGTCCACACCGTCCCCGTCCCCGTCTCCTCCTAACGTCACGTCCTCCGTCCTCTACCACAAAGAGCAGGAGTTCATCACAGCGGTGAGAGTCTCACTGAGCGAACACACACGCTCAAGAAAAGATTACTGAAATAATATAAAAGATCCTCCCTTACATCGAGAGAAAAAACTATTTCTATCCATTCAGATTACACAGTTTTAACAAATAATAAACTTCGTGTGATGCATATCAATGCTAATTATTTAAAAAGCAACGATAGAGTCTGTCTTAAGATATGGATTTATTATGGGTTTGGGAGCTGAATGAGAGAGGCGGGGAAAATAAAGGCGATACAGACACACTCAGTTCTTTAAAAGACATTTTTGAGTTGTGTACGATCCAGCAGGCCAACACGATTTCACTGGACTCTTCGCATGTATTAATATGATTTAAATGGGATTGTTTTTATGATGTAGGATTATAGGATTAGGACAGTTGTTGATGTTGTATGTTATAAGCTTGTTCTGTATTGATGTTGCAGCAGTTATTTTATCTAAAACAAATAAAAAAAAGGGAGACAATAAATATTACCTTGATCTTTATATATTTATCTATCAATAAATCCAGTTTGTTTGAATCTGAAACATTTGAACTAATTGAAAATCACTTGCTCCACAGCTAGACATATTTTTTTAACCATGTGCATAATTTTTATTTTAATAAATTTAGTTGTTTTCGCAATGAACAGGTTTGTATGGAGGACCAAACCTGCAGAAGTTAAAAATGAATGAATAAAAGAAGGAATAAATGAATAAACAAATGAATGAATAATAGGGAAATAAATTAAGGAAGGAAGGAATTAATAGGGAATTAAAGGAAGGAAGGGATAAATAATATAATAGTGAAATAAATTACTTGCTAAAACAAATAAAAAACAATTTAAATTACATTTAGTCCTGAATTTATTTGTTTGTTTATTTGTTATTTTCTTTATTTCTCTTTAACCACATTTTTTTATTCTTTCAGTTTCTTCTTTAATTTATTTTTAATTATATTTTTAAGTAATTCACTTTTGCTTGTTATTATTATATTGTTTGCTATTCAGGGTTTAATAATAATTTATAACGAGTAAGTAAATTATTTAAACAAATTAAATAGATGCAAAGAGTTAATAATAATCTATGCCGTGATTTTATTTCTTTATTTGCTTATTTATTAAATAATCTGACTAGTTTCATTTTTGTATGACTGACAAATATGCATCACATTCAATTTATACGTTTATGTTATAACTGTGTAATCCAAATGCATGGAAATTTTATATGCAATCAAATACATAAATCTTTAGACCTAAATATTTTGTGTGAAGCATCACTATTACTGTCGTTCATGCTTGTGATTTAAGCAAAGTGTTTAGACGTGTAGCTGGTTCTGCACCGTTTCTTCCTCTTGTAGTTTATCTAACGTTAGTTTCGTCTGACGTGTTTGTTTTACCAGAGCAAGACTTCAGGTCTGTTAGGCCTCTCAACTCTGGTCTGAATCAAACGCTTCAGATCAGTAAGTAACTGTGTGTTTCCTGATAACGCTTGAGACTGACGCTGGTCTGAATGTTTCTGTCAGAGACTCCCTTTGTGTCGCGCTGCATGTGTGTGTTGGGCTTCAAGGGTCCTCCTGGAGATCAATATTCGGGGTTATTCTGAGCTTAATGTGACAGTAACCTCATCCTCAGGGAGTCTGAATGTGCTGAAACGCGTTCGCAGTAATGCATTTACAGTGGAAATCTACATGCATTTACATGCAGTTCATGTTTTTAGTAAAGCTCTTTTTTAGTTTATCAAAAAAAAGTCTGTTGCTTAAGCTGCAATATCGTCCTTTTGAGGCTGAAGCAATGGTTTTGCATTACTGATGCTCACTGAGGAATGAGTTGATGTCATTGTCATGTCACACATGCGATGCATGCACTTTATGTTGAAAATAACCATCCGTTCCCCTGTGAATCACATGCACTGCAATGCTTGTTGAAGATCCTGTGTGTCGAGTCTTATCTGTGTCAAGTTTTGACAAAAATGTAAATGCTTTTTGAGATAAATGAGTTGAAATGCTGATAAACAGTTGCATAAATGCTGTGAAATCAAGCAGCGAACTTATTCATGTTGCTTGAATGAGCTGTGCGATTCCATGCAAAGATGCGTTCACACTGACAGCGATTCACAGCATCAAAGCAAAAGGAAGTCTCATTTGCAGTGACAGCTGACGATGTGCGAGCGATTTTTGATGATGCACCAGACGACTTTAAATTACACTGAGCAGAAACTAAGGTTGCACGATATTGTAAAAAAAACTGGCATTGTGATATGCAAAAATACAGGAATTTTTTTGTACTATATTTGCGATATGAAAATACAGAATTTATCGTTTTTCTGCAGTATTTACGATATGATAAAATACAAGAATTTTTGCTTTTCTGCTGTATTTGCAATATGAAAAAATACAGGAATATTTGTTTTTCTGCTGTATTTGCGATATGAAATAATACAGGAATTTTTGTTTTTCTGCTGTATTTGCGATATGAAAAAATACAGGAATTTTTGTTTTTCTGCTGTATTTGCGATATGAAATAAATTAAGGAAGGAAGGAATTAATAGGGAATTAAAGGAAGGAAGGGATAAATAATATAATAGTGAAATAAATTACTTGCTAAAACAAATAAAAAACAATTTAAATTACATTTAGTCCTGAATTTATTTGTTTGTTTATTTGTTATTTTCTTTATTTCTCTTTAACCACATTTTTTTATTCTTTCAGTTTCTTCTTTAATTTATTTTTAATTATATTTTTAAGTAATTCACTTTTGCTTGTTATTATTATATTGTTTGCTATTCAGGGTTTAATAATAATTTATAACGAGTAAGTAAATTATTTAAACAAATTAAATAGATGCAAAGAGTTAATAATAATCTATGCCGTGATTTTATTTCTTTATTTGCTTATTTATTAAATAATCTGACTAGTTTCATTTTTGTATGACTGACAAATATGCATCACATTCAATTTATACGTTTATGTTATAACTGTGTAATCCAAATGCATGGAAATTTTATATGCAATCAAATACATAAATCTTTAGACCTAAATATTTTGTGTGAAGCATCACTATTACTGTCGTTCATGCTTGTGATTTAAGCAAAGTGTTTAGACGTGTAGCTGGTTCTGCACCGTTTCTTCCTCTTGTAGTTTATCTAACGTTAGTTTCGTCTGACGTGTTTGTTTTACCAGAGCAAGACTTCAGGTCTGTTAGGCCTCTCAACTCTGGTCTGAATCAAACGCTTCAGATCAGTAAGTAACTGTGTGTTTCCTGATAACGCTTGAGACTGACGCTGGTCTGAATGTTTCTGTCAGAGACTCCCTTTGTGTCGCGCTGCATGTGTGTGTTGGGCTTCAAGGGTCCTCCTGGAGATCAATATTCGGGGTTATTCTGAGCTTAATGTGACAGTAACCTCATCCTCAGGGAGTCTGAATGTGCTGAAACGCGTTCGCAGTAATGCATTTACAGTGGAAATCTACATGCATTTACATGCAGTTCATGTTTTTAGTAAAGCTCTTTTTTAGTTGTTTTAGTTTATCAAAAAAAAGTCTGTTGCTTAAGCTGCAATATCGTCCTTTTGAGGCTGAAGCAATGGTTTTGCATTACTGATGCTCACTGAGGAATGAGTTGATGTCATTGTCATGTCACACATGCGATGCATGCACTTTATGTTGAAAATAACCATCCGTTCCCCTGTGAATCACATGCACTGCAATGCATGTTGAAGATCCTGTGTGTCGAGTCTTATCTGTGTCAAGTTTTGACAAAAATGTAAATGTTTTTTGAGATAAATGAGTTGAAATGCTGATAAACAGTTGCATAAATGCTGTGAAATCAAGCAGCGAACTTATTCATGTTGCTTGAATGAGCTGTGCGATTCCATGCAAAGATGCGTTCACACTGACAGCGATTCACAGCATCAAAGCAAAAGGAAGTCTCATTTGCAGTGACAGCTGACGATGTGCGAGCGATTTTTGATGATGCACAAGACGACTTTAAATTACACTGAGCAGAAACTAAGGTTGCACGATATTGTAAAAAAAACTGGCATTGTGATATGCAAAAATACAGGAATTTTTTTGTACTATATTTGCGATATGAAAATACAGAATTTATCGTTTTTCTGCAGTATTTACGATATGAAAACACAGGAGTTCTTGTTTTTCTGCTGTATTTGCGATATGAAAAAATACAGCATTTTAGTTTTTCTGCAGCATTTGCGATATGAAAAAATACAGGAATATTTGTTTTTCTGCTGTATTTGCGATATGAAAAAATACAGGAATATTTGTTTTTCTGCTGTATTTGCGATAATAAAAAAAAACAGAATTTTTGTTTTTCTGCTGTATTTGCGATATGAAAAAATACAGGAATTTTTGTTTTTCTGCTGTATTTGCGATATGAAAAAATACAGGAATATTTGTTTTTCTGCTGTATTTGCGATATGAAAAAATACAGGAATTTTTGTTTTTCTGCTGTATTTGTGATATGAAAAAATACAGGAATATTTGTTTTTCTGCAGTATTTGCGATATGAAAAATACAGGAATATTTGTTTTTCTGCTGTATTTGCGATATGAAAAAATACAGGAATTTTTGTTTTTCTGCTGTATTTGCGATATGAAAAAATACAGGATTTTTGCTTTTCTTCTGTATTTGCGATATGAAAAAATACAGGAATTTTAGTTTTTCTGCAGTATTTGCGATATAAAAAAATACAGCATTTTTGTTTTTCTGCAATATTTGTAATATGAAAAATACAGGAATTTTAGTTTTTCTGCAGTATTTGCGATATAAAAAAATACAGCATTTTTGTTTTTCTGCAATATCTGTAATATGAAAAAATACAGGAATTTTTGTTTTTCTGCATTATTTGCGATATGAAAAAATACAGGAACTTTTGCTTTTCTGCTATATTTGCGATATAAAAAAATACAGCATTTTAGTTTTTCTGCTGTATTTGTAATATGAAAAATACAGGATTTTTTGTTTTTCTGCAATAGTGACTTATTGACTTACAATATTGACAATATTGATTTAAATAGCTATATTTGGAAATAATTAATAATTCTAGAATGAGAGAGGCAAATTTGTTTGTGAGTGTATCTGCATAGAGAATAAAAATAACTTTAAGAAGAAAATAAAAAGTTAAAAAGATTTTTAAAATAGAAAAAAGTTGACAAAAATTAAATAATTTTGAAGCGAAATCAAATCTCTTTGTGATTATTATTAAAAATATTAAAATAAGGAACCTATTGCAATAATGCTATTATTTTAAAATAAAAAATGAGTAATAAAAATAATACAACTGTACGATGGAAAATGCATGCATGTGGGTAAATCTAGTAGTCTAATAAATAATTTAGCATTGTATATTAGGATTATTGTCAGCTTTGGTTCCTCTTTTGTAAGTTGCTAAATGCATAAATGTAAATGGACACAATTTGACTGTTGCATTAATCCTTATTTCAAAATCAAATTTATGTTGATATATCATGCAACCAGCAGTACTCATGATCACTGTCAGTGTGAACGGCCCTTAATAAACATCGAAATATTAGCAGTGACTTGCGCATCAGCATTTCACATAACTTCTCTTTTGTTTTTCAATGTAGCTGTGAATCCATCGAGACGGAGAGACGGGAAAGCAGCGTTTGGACGGTGAATGCTGGACATGACGGAGATCAAATGCACTGAGACATTTCATCATTTCATAGACTGATAATCGTCCAGAGCCTCGCTGATGAATATGAATTCTGACTGCAGTGCAGAATAGAAGCTCTTCAGCAGTGCTGGTACGTTACAGGACCGAGGTCACAGATGTACATGATTTCAGGTGTTTTACTTTTACTTCTTCATCCTGAGACTTCAGAGACTTCACCACTCGACATCTGACTCAGTATTTCTGACTGTACAAATAGCTGAATGATTTGAGTTCTGGCACCACTAATAAAATCCAGACAGGATTGCATTTTTATTAAGGATTGAGTCCGACTTTTTACTATGAAAATAAAAATAAAAGAGTAAATAAAATCAGATTGAATTTTGTGATTTATTTAAATGGTTCCCAACTCAAATGTATAAGTAACATACAGAAATAAGTCCTTTTGAATTACATTAATTCAATGTATAAATATGGAAATATGTAAAAATAAATAGTATCCAGCTTTACATCTAATTAAACACAATAAACAAATAAAGCTGTACCCGTTTTAAATCACATTTTTTGGTTAATTCATTTCTCTCTCTCACACACACACACATAATTATTATAAAATTTTCTTAATTTTTTCACTGATTATATTATATTAAAATAAATTAGATTAATAATCGTTAATGAATGCCTCGCCAGATGCCGAAAGCGCCGTCAGTTTTTACTTTCACTTTCATGGTAAAAGACGTTCACCGGTCATAAACCATGCACATTGCTCGCCTTCACGGTTTAAAACAGAAATATTTCCAATATTACCCTGCGGATTTGCGCGACGCCTCTGGATAGGCTACTTGTAAAACTGTAGTCTGTTGATCAACTAATTAAAAAAAAAAGTAATGTGGAGTGTCAAATTATGAAAGAGTATTAATATTAAATTAGGTTTGGGTTAAAAGTGCAGAGACTGTTACAAATTTCATATATATATATATATATATATATATATCAAATCATCCAGATGTAAGTCCATATTTTTACTTTGAAAATAAAAAAATATGTAGAAATAATATCCAGCTTTACAGGAAATAAAAAGCTCAAATAACAACGTGTTTTTATTTGCTAATACATCACATTAAAGCCAAATCATCCAGATGTCCATCTTTTTACTTCGAAAATACATCTCTGAATAAAATTGCGTTGAATTGCATTGTGCAGTTTATTAACTCAAATTCATTAGTAACATACAGAAATAATTATTTTGTATTACATTAATTCAATGTATAAATGTGAAAATATGTACAGAGAAATGATATCCAGCTTTACAGCTAATAAAACACAAACACATAAAGCTGCAAGCAGCATCACCGCTTCACTTCTGCATTCATACAATAAACAAAACAATAATACATTTATTTTTATTTGATAATAAGCCACATTAAAGCCAAATCATCCACGTTTAGCACGTCATCTCTCTTCAGTACATTTTTTTTTTGTGATTCCCGCGGCGGATCTTTTTGCGTTTTCAGCTTCATGCGGGAGGAGAATCTGCTCTTACTCACTGAAGATACTTCTGCTTTCTTTAGTTCTTTAATTCTATTCCTGTTGCTTGTGAGAAAGGCTGAGCTGAGGACTATTAGATCACGCCGTCACTGTTTATGGTCACGCTTCTCTCTGTAAAACCAGTATATGAGCACCGCAGCGATGAGCGAACACACACTTCATCTTCAGCTGACAACATTCAAGCTAATAAACCAACAAAAATTTCCTGGTTTGCCAACTTGAATCAATTATTAATTTTAATCCTACAGCATCAATTTCATGAAGCCTGTAAAGCTCGTATACAGCTTATATTTCACCTCACAATCAAAAGAAAGAGACAAAAGCCATTTTTTAAGATCATTACCATTCTTTCTGCTTTTTTTTTTTTTTTTTTAAAGCTTTTTACTTTAGCATATTTTTAAGCATATTATTCCTACAAATTCTCACTGTAATGCAATGGAGATATAACACTTACATATTATTAATACATTATTTAAAAGCCATTTTTAAAGTATATTTTAGATTTATTTAGGCTTTTTTCATGCATTTTGATAGAATTTGTTTCATTGCCTTCAATTTATGCTTAGTTCAAACAAACAACCCATTGTATTACAGTAAATGTAATATGCTTAATTGTCATAAAATAATTTCACAATGCAAACATCTTAATTGTCCTTAAAATAAGCTTGATATTCTTTGTGCAAAATGCATTTATTTATATTAATTCATAATAAATGTATTTATTATTAAATATAATATTTATATATTATAAAATAAAGTAATATCATATTTATAATGAAATGCATTATAATAATTTGTTACAAAAATTATATATATTTATATATATATATGATTTTGACCTGGTTGTGTTTTTGTGAAATTCACACACTTTGTATTTGGTATCTTTCAGAAATTATAAATGTTGATATACGCATCTATTACTATCAAATTTGAAAACATGTTTTATGCATTTAATAAAACTCGATGCAAGAGTAAATGTGAAGTATAAATGTTCATAACTACAGGAATTGTTGATAATTATTAAGCCTACCTTGTTCTGGATCATATTTCCACCTGGATGCAGGTCAACAATCAGGAGAATCACTCCGATCCCAGACACGACCAGACACCCGATGTTAGCAATGAAGCAAGTCTGGAACCAAAACTATTGTTTGTACTTTCCAAAAATTGAATTTATGAAATATTTAAATATTCAAACGCACACACTAACCTGTAGAAGCTCTGGATGTTTGTACAGAAGATTGGACAAGATTCCAGCGAAGACAAACTGGAAGAAAAAGAGAAACTGATTTAGGTTGTTGCATCAGATGATGCACGTTATCAATGAATATATTGATTATTTTCTGTAGCATTAGTGAAATGTGTCTCTATAACGTCTCAAAAATTTAAATGCGGTATTTTATCATGAATGTATTCCTGCATGAACTGCGCAGTGAAATATATTGTCAAGCAATTACAGCAGAAGGAATGAAGCTCACCATTATTCCAGTAATGATGGGAACTCGGAATAAAGTCAGGAAATTATTTTCGATCCCGAAAGACACTGCAAATACAACCCCGATCCCAAAACTCAGGATCCCACTGGACGACTGAACGGCCTACGGGTGAAAATAAAGCACATTTACAAATACTGAAACATGACCAGCTTAGCATTTTCACAGTAAAAATTCGACAGGATCTACTGAAGAACATGTCTAGGTCATATTATATTCCAAAATCAAAAGAAAGAAAACGGAAATTATATTTTGCATAAAGCTTACTTTTAGGATTGTGACATTATTTTCAGGACATTTAAAGAAAGTTTACTTTTACAGACAAATCCTCACCATAATGCAATGAAGATATTTTATTTACATTTTATTAATACATTATAAAAGTGTATTTATAAGTTTAAAGTATATGTTTAAGTTTGTTTATACATCCTGCTAGAATTTATTGTACTGGATTTAATTTATGCCAGTGTAAATATTAAAAACCCATTGAATTACAGTCATTTTTATATGCTTAATTATGAAAATAATGTCACAATGCAAGGAATTTTAACGGTGCTTAAAACAGGCTTGATTTTCTTTATGCAAAAAAAATATTATTTTATTTTATTTATTATAATTTTTCAGATTTATACAATATATTTTCTTTTTTAAGCATATTTTCCCTAAAAAAACTTTAAAAAATACATTATATTTTATTATTAATGCATTATTTAAAATATGTATTTATATAATAATAATAATAATTCATGTACACTGTATACCAAAAATAAAAATACTGGACATTTCTGTTAACCCTAAAACACAGCAAAATTCAAAATACAGGTAAGAAATATACTGTAAGTACGTTTTGCCCTAAAAATGCATTCATGTATACCAACAAAACTAACTTTTATGGGTTAAATTAAGCAGAAGTAGATCTTTAAGGCAGCAACTGCAGGTCAGTAGTGTACAAACTGGACGTTTCTGACTGTAACACCTAAATCTAACCGTCAGTCTTCAGCCTGTTCTCACTTTGTGCTTCTACAAAACACTTAACCAGAAACACCTAGTAATGCCCTAGCAACCTTTGTTTTGGCAAACACTGGTGGGCTCTTATAATATAATGGCAGTGAATGTGTCGAGTCTCACGGCGCAGGTGGCCGGTCCCTTCCTGAGGAGCCGCTGCAGCGCCGGCACGGGGCCCGGCAGAACTTCACTGGCCCGGTAGTACTTTATGAGCGGCCCTTCATCATCATGTCTTCCTCCCGCCGAGTCCTCGTGTCTCTGAATGTCCATTTCAATATCTGCCCTGGCCATATTCTGACAATAAACACACATACGAGCCATAAAACCCATTATAATTCATTCCCATGCTTGAATATTTTTCCATTACTTTAACTTATCAAAATAACCAATTTCAACTTTTTTAATTATAAGATCCCAGACACAAGATTCAACTAGAGTTTCAGTTTAATATAATTTAGCTTGCAGTGACTTATACAGCCAATTTGATTCAACTTCAAAATTTGAAAAAGTTGCAACGTTTTTTTTTACAGTGTATTACCAAAAAAAATTTAAAAAAAGTCTGCTTTCTTTTGTATATTTCATAAATATTATAATCCGATAAATCAAATGCTTGGCAAAAGCATGAATTGAATAAGTAGAAGTCTCATGTTGTAAATATTTGTAAGTATGCATGAAACCCTCATTAAAATACGCAGTAAAAATTATAGAATCAGTAAGTCAGCACGTTTTTCCATTACATTAACTTATCAAAATGAGTTAACCATTTTAAACTAAATTTTTTAAGTTATACAAGATTCATCTTGAGTCAGTTTAATATAAGTTAACTTGCAATAACTCATACAGCCAATCTGATTCAACTTAATTTAAGGTGCAACTGATTTTAACCATGTATTCAGAGTTTTACAATCTGCTTTCTGTTGTATATTTCATAAATATCGTAGTCCAAGAAATCAAATGTGAAGCAAAATAATGAAATTTGTAATTTACTGTTTGTAAATATGCATAAAATCTACTGTAACTCATAAATGTAACCAATTGCAATTTAATCTTTTATGAGATTAAATCAGATTTTTTTTAAGTCAGTTTAATATAATTTGTTGGAATGACTTTGATTCAACTTAAATTAATTTGCAACTGATTTCACAAAATGGAAAGTACATTTGCTTCATAAGAATTATAATCCAAGAAATCAAATGTTGGGCAAAAGCTAATAAAACACAATATGAATGAAACAAAAGTTATAGATGAGCATGAAACCCTCACTGAAATGCATTCATGCTTCTCGTTTAGGATTCTTCGTGTTCTTCCATTCAACCACCAA